CGCGTGGACGCTCTCCCTCCTGGGCTGCCCACATGAGCTGGGGGGGGGCGCGGCGCCACACTGGGCATTGGCGGAGCCGTGTTCCACACGCCACGGGAACTCTGGCCTGCAGTGCGGAGGACCGTCAGAACGGAGACCCCAATTGGAGAGAGCAGAAATCACAATGCGGATGAGTGCAGGGAAGGCTTGGGAGAGCGAACGGGAGAGAGACCACAGACAACAGCCAGAAGCCTGTTCCCGAGGGAGAGCACTGTGCGCATGGGCACCTCTCCTCCCAGGGACCCTCAGCCCCAGGCCTAGAAAGCCTCAACTCTCTTCTCAGAGCCTGCCTTAAGGGGACCCACAACAGGCCGTGGGTCATGAGCAGCAGAGCGGGAATCGGCGGCGCCTCCCACACCGCTGGCCCAATCTGAAGAAAACTAGAGACAAGGATACGACAATGTGCTCCAGACAAAGCACCCTCGTGGGTCCTTGACACCCCACCCCCACCCCACCCCTTCACCATCCTTGGGTAAAGCCCTGCCACCATTTCTCCAAAGAGACAACCAGACCAAGCAGAGGGGTGAGAAGGAACCACGGGGGACTGAGCCTCCCACTCTGGGCGCCGGAGGCAAGGCGCTGGCTGCGCACACAGGGGACGGGCAGAGAAGCCCCAGGCAGGAGTCGGCGGACGCCAGAACCCCTCAGTGCTCAGCTTCCCCGGCAGAGTCCTGGCCATCAGCCACAGGCAAGGGCTGGCCTCCTAGTCGGCTCCCGCCCATCCCACTAGAAACACCCGGGTGCTTCCGAGGAAGAAGGAGAGGTGACAGCGGCAGCGCTTCTCCGTCAAACCCAGAGGGCAGCGGCTTGCCTCGGCCACAGGCTGACGCCGGGGACGGGACCCGAACCCTCTCCCGAGAGCGCGGAGACCTGCCCCTCCCGAACGTTCGTTCTCCCACAAAGCCAGTAAAAGAGACCGCAGATGGAAGCACAGGGACCACAGGCATGGCAACAGCAGGGACAACCACATAAAAATAACTTTTCTAGGTATTTCTGCCTGGGTCTCGATCAAAACTAAAACGGAGCTGTCAAGACGCACGAGCTCATTCTCCCGACAGCAGCCGCGGGATAACACCAGGGCTGCGGGAGCCGTTCTGGTGCTGCTGAAACCCGCGGCAGGGGGAAAAAATAAATAAATAAAATGGCATTCCGTGATGGATATTCATGAAGTGCTCATCCTAATTTAAAAGAAAACAAGCCCAGAGTTCTTACTGCATTAATTCATGGGAGCCTGAGAGAACATTTTTATCCAGACTGCTACATTTCCCAGCAAGGCGCTAACATTCTCCGGGTCTGAGGGTGAGGGTCAGCCGTGGAGGCTGAGGGTGGGGGGTGCTTTCAGTCCAGACTAAACCCAAGAAGCTTCTGGGGGATTCACTGGAGGGCAGGGCGGGGGTGCGGGCGGCGGGAGGCATAGCACGACCCCTTAACCTCATGGCGCTGTGAGCCGAGCGACCTGCCCCCTCGCCTCCCTGGCCACCCCTGGCAGAGACGAGTGTCAGCTGAGACCCTCTGGGCGGCCGCTGGCTAGCGGCCTGTGGCCCGGCTCTGCGCGTCCCGGCATCAGGGTCCCGAGCCCACGGTCGCGTCTCCTGGGAGCGAGACCTTCCACACAGGCACCCGTGGAAAGGGAGGACTTTAGCAGCGCCAAACTCTTTGTTTTCTTTTGGCTCAGGGACACACCCGCCTTGGTGACTGGGGGGTCCCTCCTAATGGTGCTCAGGGGACACAAGGGGCTGAGGACAGAGCTTAGCTGGCCACAGGCAGAGCATGCGCCCTGGGGGCCGCCTGCCCAGCCGCAGGGCTGGGTCCTCGCTGACCGGCTTTGAGTGAAGAGAGAGTTCTCACCAAGGCTGTACCAATGCACTGAGCCAGCGATGATTACGGGATGACCATCTGTTGTACTTAAAGCAATCTGCAGACATTTCTCCGTGTTGTGTCCACTCTTTCTTACTTCTGTCTATGAGGCAGCCCAAAGACTAATCAGGAATTAGAAAGATCCATTTCAGGAAGAGAATGAACAGGCCTTTTATAGAGGACAGAGGTGGGGCGCTCGTGGCCATTACGAGGCCTACTCCAAGCTCCCTGGGCATGGGTTGCTCCTGGTGATGCCGGGGACTAAGCCCGGGCCTCCAGCATGCAAAGCCTGTGCTCCAGGCCTAGCGAGCCACCTCCACTGCCCAAGAAAGCTTTCTGAGGGCCAAGGACTCAACGGCGTCACCTTAGCACAGGTACTGCAGGGGATCGGGGACCTGGACAGTACTGCACAATACTCCCCTCTCACCCTGGCACTGCCTTCCTCCATAAGTTTCCCACCAACTTCAACAGAAAACAGCAGCTAGAAATGAAGCTGCTTCCAGCTGTGGCCTGAACTGCCACCGTCAATTCGGCAGTCCGTCCTCTACGAGACACTGGATGGACACAGGAAAAGCATTAAGGGGAACTGACAGCAGCAGAAAGTTGATGGGAGTCAAGCCTAATGACGGCTCACCAGAGCAGGATCCCGAGTGTGGATCTGGGGCGGAGTCGGACAAGATTCGCACCCCCAGTCTCGAGGACACACACGGGAATGCAGTGCAAAGTTATCACCTGCCCCCTTGATAACTTTACACCCCGGAACAGGGGTATACGTTGAAGATGAAAATGTACTAGGCAGTGCTGCAAATTGTATTACGAACTTTTAAAAAATGGGGGGGGGGGGGGAATGTGTGGAAAGGATTTTGTTTTTTGTTTGGGGGCCACACCCGGCAGTGCTCTGGGCTTAATCCCGGCTCTGTGCTCAAGGGACCCTATGGGCTGCCAGGGATCTAACCTGGGTCTGCTGTGTGCAAGGCAAATGCCTGACCCAGTGTACTATGGCTCCAGCCCAGAAGGGGGATTTTTGGTCACACGTGGCTGTGCTCTGGGCTCACCCCTGGCAAGTGCCTTACCCTGGACTAGCTCTCTGGCCTGATGGCATGGGAACATCTGAGGAAACAGAGGCAAGACACACAAGCCCACATGCCAGTCAGGTGCTGCTGGGGTCTCCCGGCAGCCTCCACTTTAAGGAGCAGAGGACACCCCCCGCCCCAACGGTCAGGAGCAGACCTTTTGATGCGCCCAAGATCTGCTTCATTATCTGCTCCCTGAGCATGAGCGTGACACCCACCTTAAACGGCAGCCCTGGCCAGCAAGGGCACGTGACGGAGAAAGCTGGTAGCTAACAACACCTTCTGCTTTCAGAAAAGAAAGCCGGCGTGCATGTCCCAAAAGGCCTCCAGAGAGTACTTAATCCGAGGGGGTCCAGCGGCAGTACTAGCTCACGGGAGTGCCCCCCCAGAGCTCCCAAGACGCCGTGGCCCTCGAAAACCTCCTCTTCCCGTGGGGATAAGAGCAAGTGCCACCAGGGACAAGCTACTCCTGAACCTCAGAGCGGGGCTGGGATGGGGGCCGGGGCCCCGCTGGAGGAAGCCTATCTTCAGCAGGGGCGAGAAGGAAGTGAAACTGGGGAACCGCCACGCAGAAGGAAAAGGGAGGCGAGCACTTCGGCAGGGGGGAACGGGCGGGCGACAGGGGAAGGTTCAAACCCTGGAGAGGGCCTTGCACGACAGGGTGGGCACCGGGTGGCCCCAGGCGAGAGGCCAGAGGCCTCGGATCAGCTCTCCCAGGCACCCGCCGGCCCGGGAGCTGACTGGGCACCTCCACCTGCAACAGTCCCACACCCCACCCGCTCGCTGCCTTTGCAGGAGCTTCAACTTTGGCCCAGTGTTCAAATTCTTTCAGGAACTCGTCTGGACCAATCCTTCCTCCTACTCCCTCCCTCTGGGCGCCAGGGGAGTCACGGATCCCACAGACTCACAGGGCTGGGCCACCTCTTCCTGGGACCCTACTCCAGTGTGAAGTTCAAAGGGGCCCCCAGGAAGCCGGCGCTGACCCCCCGGGCAGGCCCGCCTGACCTCCTGCTGGCCTTTCACTCTACTCTACCGGCCGGCTGGGTCCCTGCTCCTGGGGGACGGGGGACGGTGGCGGCGACACCCCCGGCTCCCACGTTCCCCCCCAACCACAGGCAGCAGCAGTTTGACAGTGCATAAGCAAGCCAGCACTCAACTCTTTTTTTTGACTTCCTATATTAAGTTTGGCATTAGCATAAAGGAAGGATGGGGGATGGGGGGGCCCTTCTGAAGTCAGAAACCAGCTCAGAAGCTGTTGCAATAATCCAGATGTGAAGCACAGAGGGCCTGGACTAGGGAACAAAGGGAAAACGGGCTAATATAAACAACCCAAATGTTAAAAAAAAAAAAAGAAAGGTTTTGGGTTTTTTTTTTTTTTTTGCATGTCAGAACTCCGCGGTGCGGTGGGGCTTGCCGAGGGGCTCCCCGGAACAAAAGCAAGCGCTGTCTCCTGACCCGGGGGGAAGCTGCGAGTCCCCTCGGCCACCCGTGGAGTGGGACTGACCCCCAGGTGCCCGGAGCGCCGCCCAAACACTCCCCCGCGGCGCCCAGGTCTCGGGGGTGCCCGTGCCCCGCCGGGAGCCCGGACCCGCGACAGACCTGCCCTGCCAGTCCCACCTGCCCGGGACGCCGAGCGGGGTCTCCGGAGGGGTCACCGGACGCCCCCCCCGCGCACCGTCCCCGTGGGCCTCGGGGGGAAACTGAGGCCCGGCGCGGGGCCCGCGGAGACCGTCCCCCCGCCCCCCACCCCGGTGCCGCCCTCCCGGGGGCCGCCGCCAGCCCGCGCCCAGGCCAGTGCCCGCGGCCCCGGCCCGGCCCGGCCCCCTGACCCGGACCCCCGCGGCGGGGCGCGGGCCAGGGAACCCCGCGGCCGCCCCCGCCGCCCGGGCCCTCGGCGGGGGGGAGGGAGACGCCCCCGGCCGGCCCGGATCCGAGCGGGCAGCGCCCGGCCGCCCGGGGTGGACGCCGCCGGGCCCGGGCAGCGGCCGCGCGCGCCCCGCGGCCCCCGCCCGCCCGCCCCGCGCGCCTCACCTGCCCCGCGCGCCCGCCCGCGGCGCCCCCTCCGCCGCCGCCGCCGCCGCCGCCGGCGCCAGGCCCGTCCCCGCCGCTCCGGCTGCCGCCTCGGCCCGCGCCCCCCGCCCCCGGAAGTGCTTCCCGGGCCCGCCCCCGCGCGCCGGCGCTTCCGGCCGCGCCGCTCCCCGGGGCCGCGCCGGGCGGAGCCGCGCGGGGCGGTGCGGGCGCGCCGCGTCCCGGGGCGGCTGACCTTGGCGCGCGGGCGGGCGGGCGCGCGGGCGGGCTCCGCGTCGGTCTGTGCGCGGGGCTGGGACCCCCCGTCCGCCCCGAGCTGGCCCGTGTGCTCCGCCCCCACCCCCGGGGGCGCCCCACGACCCCCCTCGCCACTGCCCCTCTGTGCACGGTTTGGCGACGCCGCCGAGCCGGGGTGGACAGACACGTGCCCAGCCCCGGTCTGGGAGGGAGAGAGACCGGGGTGCAGGGGCGATGCCGTCCAGGGCGCGGGCTCCCCCCAAGCCAAAATCGTTCAGAAACAGAAACCGGGTAGGGTTGAAGGGAATCGATTTTCTTTCTGATTGATTTATTTATTTTTTTGGGGGGGGGGTCACACCTGCCGATGCACGGGGGCTACTCCCGGACTCTGCACTCAGGAATCACCATACATGCCGGGAATCGAACCCGGGTCGTCGGCCGCGTGCCAGGCAAACGCCCCACCCGCTGTGCTATTGCTCCAGCCCCGGAAGGGAATCGATGTTCAAGACAGAAAGCTGCACTTGTTCTGGGGACCCGAGCCTGGTACAGCAGTAAGGCACTTGCCTTGCCGATCATCTCCCCCGTCACTGCCAGGAGCTACCTCTGAGCATTGCCAGGGGTGACTCCCCCCGCACCGCGCTGCCCCACTCCCCGCAAAAATAAAATTTAAAAAAAAGCTGCAGCTTGTGGTACTACCCCATTCTCTGCAAGCAGGAGCTTTCTGGGATAGGTCTGCTAGGCATACCCAATACAGCCCGCCTTGTTCCACACGGCAGGGCCCTGCTAGTCCCTTTATAGATGCCACCCCCTTCAAGGCACAGCCCCCAGAGAGGAGTCTATTCTTACCTTACTGGAGAGAGGGTCAGTGATTAGATAAGTCACACAGCTAAGTCAATTAGATAAGTCACACAGAAGGCTTGGAATGAGCCTTCTGGTCTGCCTCCAGAAGGAAACTTATTATGGCAACAGAATATTCTAAACACAGCATTTTAGGTAACCGGCTGCTAACAGCAGACAGGCTGCGCGGACACTCTCCCTCTGATGGCCGCTTGTCTTGAGCTTCCTGGAGTTCCGTCCCAGGAGCGGGAGGAGTGAAGAGCGCAAAAATGCATCATCCTGCCATGTTTCCTCAGGACCATCAGCCACAGCCCACCGGAGTGGGTTCAGGTTTCCCTCCTGGCCAGCCATGATGGGGGAGGGGGGGGCGGTGGCTAGAGTGGGTAAGGGTGTTTGCCTTGCACACGGCCAACCTGGGTTCAATCCCCAGTACCCCATATAGTCCCTGAGCCTGCTAGGAGTGAGCACTGCTGGGTGTGGCCCAAGCGTTTAAAATAAAAAACAGATCCACCCCTGGCCTCATCATTTTAACTGATTTTTGCAAAAGCTGTTGGTAAAAGTAAAGTCTGGGGGTCCAAAGGAGTATAGGGGATAAGGCAGGCACCCTGGCAGGCAGCTGACCCTGATTCTGTTCCTGGTCCCCTGAGCACTGCCAGGTGTGATTTCTGGACACAGAACCAGGATAGGCCCTAGGCACTTCCAGCTGTGACCTCCAAACTCCCCCCAAAATAAAAATCTGAAAAATAGTTTAAGCAGTGTCTTCTCAACTGGAACAAAGCATTGGCATGCTCTCAGGGATTATGGAAACAGAAACGTTTCATTTTTGTGCCAAGTGGCCCAAAGTTACTGATGATCTGTCTGCTGGGTAATTCACCATAGATTTATTTTTATTCCTTCAAATGGAGACACTAAACTCATATTTTCCAGTCCCATGTTTTTGCTGGGTTTGTGTTTCCTTTTTGTCAGCTGATAATGTGTCAATTTACTAATTCATCTTAGTTATAAAGTGACCGCTTCTCTGTTTTTCCATCATCTTTGTGGCATTTTTTGTTTTGGGTTGGGGGCAGGATCATACCTGGTGACTCTTAGCAACTACCCCAGTGTGTGGCTTTGGGGTTACACCTTTGCTTGGGAGACCTTGGGGTGCTGAGGGCTGAAACCAGGCCTCCATACAGAGCACTTGCACCTGCCTTTGAAACATCTCCCTGGCCTCAATGACTTTCTCAAGTCACCTAACCTTTAGCCCAAGTGAAAACAAGTATCTCCAGCAGTATTTCCCAGATTTGGTGACCCTGCCACCCCCAGCCCAGGGCACTAAGATGGAGGGGATGGGGTGGGGAGGGGAGGGGGCACTAAGATGGAGGGGGTGGAGTGGCCGTGAAGAGCAGTTGAGGGGGAGGGTGTTTTGTGTGTGTTAAAAGAAGATATTTTTCCACTTACACTTGTTTTCTGTTTCACTTCTTCCTGTTAGTTTCCCCAGAGAAATCAATCAAATGATCGAGCTGACATTTCATCATCATCTGGGCTTATCCGTCAGGGATTTGGCCATAATGGGGGTCAGCGTGTGACAGTGATAGAGGGGGTTTGCCAGGTCTCTGTTCTGCCTTCTGGGCACCCCACAATGGAGGCAGGCCTCCCCTCCATGCAGGACAGTGCGTGAAGGGAGTCTTCTGCATAGAGCTCACCCCACTTGCCTCTTCCCCTGGCCCCTTTCTGAGTCCTGGGAGAGTCAAAAGCCAGTGTGTGGGATGAAGGTCAGGCATTCAGCCCCTCTTCCTGCTTCCCAGGAGACCCTTTCTGGCCGCCTCTGAAATCCCCACACCTTGGCATCGTGTTGATCCTTGTCATGGTCTTTACAGAACACCCATGAGTCTACCTTTAAAAAATGACGTTCTTAGGGGCTGGAACGATAGCACAGCGGGTAGGGCGTTTGCCTTGCACGCAGCCAACATGGCCAACCCAAGTTCAATTCCCAGCATCCTATATGGTCCCCCGAACACCGCCAGGAGTAATTCCTGAGTGCATGAGCCAGGAGTAACCCCTGAGCATCGCCGGGTGTGACCCCCCCCCAAAAAAAAAGCAAAAAAAAAAAAAATGACGTTCTTGGGGCTGGAGTGATAGCACAGTGGGTAGGGTGTTTGCCTTGCACACAGCCGAACCAGGTTCGATTTCTAGCATCCCTGATCCCTGAGCACCGCCAGGGGCAATTCCTGAATGCATGAGCCAGGAGTAATCCCTGTGAATTGCCAGGTGTAACCCAAAAAGAAAAAAAAAATGATATTCTAGTGGGCCAGAGCGATTGCACAGCGGCAGGGCGTTTACCTTGTGCGCAGCCAGCCCGGCCTAGCCGGGTTCAATTCCTCCGCCCCTCTCAGAGAGCCCGGCAAGCTACCGAGAGTATCGAGCCCGCACGGCAAAGCCTGGCAAGCTCCCCGTGACGTATTCGATATGCCAAACACAGTAACAACAAGTCTCATGACGGAGACGTTACTGGGCCCGCTCGAGCAAATTGATGAACAATGGGAGGACAGTGTTTTGTTTGTTGATGTTCTAGGAGCGGGAGAGAGCACAGGGATTGGATGCTTACCTGGCACACAACCGACCCCCAGAGTTGTCAGGAGTGATCCCTGAGCACAGAGCCAGGAGCAATCCTTGAGCACTGCCAGGAGTGGCCCAACACCTTCCTGGGCAGGAAATGATGCTGTTAGGGTTTCCTCTCGGGGCTCAGCCACACCCACTTCTACCTGCCTGTCCACCTGAGCCGCTCTGGCCAGCAGGGGGAGCCTGACTCTCCAAACCAGCTGCCCACTAGCTTTTAGAATGGGCGGTGTGGGGGGGAGGTTCCCCACTTCTACAAAGAACAGAGAGCACAGCCCAGAAAGCCCCCTCTTCTGCGAGGCTGCCCCAGCACTTCCTGCTTGTGTGTGTGTGGAGGGGGGGGGGAACAGGGGCTCTGTTCGCTCTTCTAAGCTCTTCTTCCCTCATCATGTGGCCCTGAGGCTGCGGGACAGGCTTTGTGTCCCTGATGGATGGCCAGGATCGAGCAGCAGAGCACCGTGGCCGGGTGCTGGGACTCAACGGGGTCCTCAACCCCCCATGAGAGTTGAGCTCTGTGGTGTGATCAGGGCCCCACTAAGCTTCCACCTCTGCACAAATGGAGTCAAGACTTACAGTAGTGGGTAGAGATGATCAGAAATCAGTGCTCCCGGGACTGGAGCAATAGCACGGCGGGTAGGGCATGCTATTGCTCCACAATCATAGTTTTAAAACCAAACCAAAATCATAATTTTAAAACTAATCAGGTTTCAGCGGCCAGAGAAATAATACAATGCTTGCAGCACTCGCCTTTCACACAGCTGACCCAGGTTCAATTCCTGGCACCCCATGTGTCCCCTGAACCCCTCCAGGGGTGATCACTGAGTGCAGAAATGGGGTGAGTCCTGAGCACCACCCATGTGTTTCCCTCCCCCCCAAAAAAAATTAAGAGGCTAAGAAATTGTCCTGATGCCAGAGCAATAGCACAGCGGGGAGGGTGTTTGCCTTGCACATGTCCGACCCCGGTTCAATCCCCAGCATCCTATATGGTCCCCCCCACAAACACCGCCAGGACTAATTCCTGAGTGCAGGGTCAGGAGTAACCCCTGAGCATCTCTGGGTGTGACCCAAAAAGTGGGGAAAAAAAAGAAAAGCCAAACCCAGGACGATACTAATCCCGGCAGGCCCCAATCCTGGAAGTCCTGCCCTACCTCTCCTCTGGCGCCATCTTTCCTCCCAAGAAGGGGCAGAATCTGGACTGGCGGGTCCCAAGCCCAGTAATTCCAGCCCTCATCCAGCACCATCTTGCCATGCCCAGAAGTGTGGAATCAGGGCCGGAGGAGCTCAATAATGGAAGTATGGCCCTTGCCTCACCCCCAGTGCCATCCCGCAGTCCCCAGAAGTGCAGAATCCCCACCGTTGGGCTCCAATCCCGGAAGTCCGACCCTGCCCCACTCCCAGCGCTATCTTGCCATCCCTGGAAGTTCA